CCAAAATGCAAACTAGATTGAATAAACACAACAAATGCCTTAAAATAAATGGTAGATTGGGCTGGTTCTGTGACCTGGTGGTTAAGAAGGCTAGATCCCACACAGTTGAATGTGGTTCAAGCCCTAGACCTGGAAGCCTGAGAAACATGCTGTGTGTGTGTGTGTGTGTGTGTGGCCAAAATCTTTTTTTTTTTTTTTTTGAGAGATTTTCACTGTAGGGCGCGTGCGCTCGCCAGACAGACAGAGAGAGACATAGAGACAGAAAGCGAGAAATCACCCCCCAGGGGGGATGGTCACACCGCAATCCCTTCTCCTCCATTCTCCTCTCGGGATCTTGGGCACGCACGCACACGCGCCCGGCGTGAGTTTTAAGCCACCGGGTCCAAGACACGAACTGCGGTCAACTACGTGGGAGTCCAGCGACATAGCCATTACGCTAACTGCTGGTTCCCTGTGTTTCCAAAATCTTGAAGGGAGAGAGAGATAGAGAAGGGATTGTGGCATGACCATTCCCTATGGGGAGTGCTTTTTCCTCTCCTTTCTTTATGTCTGTTTCTCTCTGGCAAGTATGTGCACCTTTGAACAAAAAAAAGAAGAAATGGGGCTGGCAGATGGTATGGTAGTTAAGGATTAGACTTCCATATGGCTGGCTGATGTTTGAGTCCTGGACCTGGTGGCTTACTTTCCCACTTTCCCTCGCTCTCTCTGGTCAAATTTAAAATAATAATAATAAAATTAATTAACATAATTCTTTTTAAAAAAAGAAATGATCATTAAAATGAGGAAAAATTTTAAAAATTGGAACAATCATTTAAAAAGAAATAAAATCTGTAGAAGATAGGAAAAGAAGATTGAACATATTCATATGGAAAACAGCTCATAATCTTTTTTTTGTGTGTGTGGCAAGTCTCCCCTCTGTGAAATTGATGCTTAAAATATTTAGGATTTTGGAGTCAGTAGATGGTGTAGTTGTTAAGGTGCTGAACTCCCATGTAGTTGACTGTGGTTCGAGTCCTGGATCTGGTGGCTTGAAACTCATGTTGGGTGTGTTTGCATGCATACCCAAAATCCCAAGAGGAGAATGAAGAAGGGATTGTGGTGTGGCCATTCTCCCTGGGGAAGGGGGTAATTTCTCTTTCTGTCTCTCTCTCTGACTCACTAGTGAGCACACACCCACAATAGCAAAAATCTCTTTAAAAAAAAAAAAAATATATATATAGGATGTCAAAGGAGATCAATTACACTGAAATATGTTAATGAAGTACATATTTTAGAAACTTTGATATAATGGTATATGTGCTTTTTTACTAATATATTAGGTAACAATATTTTATCCATGTGCCATTCCTAAGGAATCTGCTAGAGAAGAGTTTCCAATACCAACACGAGTGGAGACAGTGGCATAAGGAACTGAAGCAGTGATCGTGGTGGAGGATTACAACATAGAAGGAAGGATCATGAGGTATGTATCTCCTGGTGGAAATGCACATCACCAACTATGAAGTATTCTTACCCAAAACATCAAATATGAATCTATCACCACCACACCTGGCTTTCAGGTTGGACCAGGAATAGAAGCCGGGTCACCATGTGGTCCCAGCATGCAGGGCACAATGTGTTAGTGACATGGTCAAAGCCTACTCTACTCAAAAAATTGAAAAGGTACAGAATTTGGAATGAATTATTAGAAGCAAGCAATGTTTTAAATACTACAATTTGTGAACTGTTTCATAGGTTTTCAAAAAATTGGAAAGGAAGTTTTTTTTAATTCTATGGGCACTCATTTTGAAGTAATTATATGTATTATTAAATACCATATTATCCACTCACTCATTCAAACCTTTAAGTATCTATCATATGCACAATGCTTTACTAAATATTAAGGGAATACAAAGATACATTTTTAAATCATGCCAACTTTCAGGTTTATAAACTAATAATAGTGACAAGTAGTTTAACACAAACTGTAGGAAAGGAATTACAAGCAAAAATCTGCTAATTGAGAAAAAACATCTTATTTCTTAATTCAAAGCATAAATTACCAGTTGGGAAATGCTACTATTATATACAACTTCATTAGTTCATCCTTTTTAAAGGATGGTGATTATTTTTAGGAAAAGTCTTATAACTTCTGTAAGATTGGTTTGATCTTTTTAAACAAAAATATGCTCAAAGAGGAAAAACGATAGATTCATTAAATCAAATGAACATCACTCATAGACGGTGTCTTTGCAGAAATATGCAAAAAGTTGAGTACGTTGTATATATATAATGAAATAGTTACATCTGAATTACTTTGGAGGCTTGCCTTAGACAAGTTATTAGGCACAATTTCATCATATTTAAAATGGATGATATTTGCCTCTGACTAAATTATAACTCACAGATGCTATAATTATTTCCATCTGTAATAATACACAAGGTTAAAAAAATCTAGCATAAAAATTTCCCCAGTAATTTACATACCAAAATTATGTGGGCTAAAACTGGGGCTATGAAGAAAAAGTGAGGTCAGTTGTTGGCATGGTGGTTAAAGTGGCTGGATCCCACATGTGTGGTTCAAGTCCCGGACCCATGGCTTGAAAAACATGTTGAGCGCATGTGCATGTGTGCCCAAAATTCCAAGAGGAGAACAGAAGAGAAGGAATTGTAATGTGGCTATGACCCTCACAGGGTGCTTTCTCAGTTTCCCTATTTCTCTTTCTTTCTCTCTGTCACTGTTTCTCTCCAGGTGAGTACACAAACCATCTAGCAAATTAAAAAAGAAAAGAAAAAGTGATGATGGTATGACTAACCTAACAGTTAACTCTCACTGCAGAAATGAGTATAAATTTACAAGTAGCTATTTTTTCCCCATATTTTATTAATTTTTTTCAATGGTTCAGACAAGAAACTTAAAATATCTGGCAAAGCAAGTTGAGAATTCATTTTATGAAATATAATAGAGGAAAAGAATGGGCAAATATTATAATTTAAAATATTTATTGATTCATGCTTTCCAGTAAATTTTTTTTTTAAATTCAGGCACCATAACCAATATTACTCTCTGCTCTCAATACAAAGCCATTTTCCCCACTCAAAATCATGAAGTTATGTATATTTTTATAATTAATGAATTTGTGACAGCTATGATTTTCACTTTATAAAAATACAACTAAGATCACAGTACCAAATGGACGGTATGTCACAATGAAAAAGTTGAAAATGAAAAAGCTGAATAGGTAAAGCCTTACTCTGACCACAAGACCAATGAGCTGGAATCAACCTTTACAGGCTACAGATGACTTTACTCAACAGCCCTGCACATATTGAAGGGTCCCAGTAGATGTTCCTAATACCATAAATGTAACTGCTGACACCCCAATGCTGCAAACAGCAGCAAAGAAACAGAAAGGAGACCTTGCTGATTCAGTTTTAGTCTTCAACAGATTTCTCTTCTCCACTTTCATCATCAGGTTCATCTTTTTCCTTGTAAGAATTCTGGCTGTTAGTATCAATAATATAATTTTCTTCCTCATTCTCTCCTTCTTCTATTTTTTCTTCTTCATTAAAGCTAGAGGAAAAAATTTATCAATCTTTCAAAGAAAAAATGATTCGGGTTAAAAGTAAACAAACCTCTTGCAATGTATGCCATAAGGCAGCCAGTCTTTCTCAAGTGTAAGAGCTCTAATGTCATCAAGACAGTTCTATATGGACAGGCAGATGGTGTATGGTTACATCACTGGGCTCCCACGTAGTCGACTGCGGTTCAAACCCTGGACCTGGGCTTAAAACTCTTACCAGGCCCATTTGCTGTGTACCCAAAATCCCAAGAACAGAATGAAGGAGAAGAAGGGATTGCAGTGTGGCCATGCCCCCTGGGAGGTGATTTCTCTCTTTCTCTCTCTCTTTCTCTCTCTGTCTCTCTAGTGAGCACATGTTCCCTATAGCAAAAATCTCTTAAAACAAACAAACAAACAAACAAAAACCTAAAAAAAAAAAAAAAAAAAAAAAAAAAAAAAGCTCGCTCTAGAAAAGTGCCAACGGGAAATGAGATATTCCTCTAAGAACTAATTTATTTCAAAACTTGATTGACTCTTTAAACTTCATTTGAAAGCATGCTCTTTTTTCATTTTTTAAGTTATTCTGCTTTAGAATGCAAATACTTCATCACCATGAAATATTTTGAATGTGTTACATATGTTAAAATATCCTTATGTTTTATAATAGTTCATATGTTCTCAATTTAGGTAATTAGGTAAAAGCTTTTCGAAATAATACAGAACAGAATTTTATGCTTTCTTGCAGGTAAGCTTTTTTTTAAAGGTAAGCAGTTCAGATATCTTATATATGTTACCTTTCTTTATCTTCAGTGAAACTTTTCGTCTCTTGATTGCTGAAGTACTCAAATACTTTTCCACTTTGGCCTTTCTTTGAAACAAACTCATCAGATATTCCTAGTGCTTTTAAGGTGTTAAAATAATGCTTTTCTGCTGCCATTCTTGCATTTTTCTATAGAAAAGACAAACTTTTTTAGATGAGAACGAAGACTCAACTTCCATTAAAAATATATGGGTTAAAAGGTCCAGCAAAAATTAAGTTCAACAACCACAGTGGGTTGAAAATACGCATATGCTATGGCCAGCAACTACACTCCTACATATGCACCAGAGAAACTCCTACATATGTGCCCCAGGAGACATGTTCCATACCGTACTACCTGAAATAGCCTACCACTGTAAACAGTCCAAATATCTACCAAAAGTTGGATGGATAAATAAACTGTGGTTTATTCACACAACAGAGTAAAACAGAGCAACGAAAATAAATGAGCTGTGTCAATGTGCCACAACATGGATTAATCTCGCAAATAAAATACTAAGCAAAGCACCAAAGAATATATATGGTATAATTCATTTATAGGAAGTTCAGGAACAAGTAAACTAAACTATATTGTTTGGAGATAGGTACATAGGTGGTGAAACTGCACCTATGAAAAACAAGGAAATGCTTATTTCAAAAGTGAGAATGGTGGTTATGTTTAAGGGAGAAGTAGAGCGTTGTGGTCTAGGAGGGGAAAGAGGGGTTTCTGGGGTGCTGGTAATGCTCTGGTTGTTATTCTGGGAGGCAGACACATGAATACTGTCCTAAAATAATCCTTTACACTGTACCTAAGTTTTATATTTTTTTGACTGTATAAAGATACCAGGAAAAATTGGTAAGAAAACAAGTTCACGTAATAGTTGTCAAGGGTTTTTTAATTTTAGATGCCTACTGCTAATGTTTACTAATTACAAGCCATACCCTAAGCCATCAAAGATGATAAAATCATTAGTGTTGGGCTGACTCCACAGTGCAGCAGTTAAGTGCCATGCTTTGGGAGCTGGATCCCACACAGCCCATTACAGTTCGTTCTATTTTTTTTTTTTTTTTTTTTGCTATAGGGTACATGTGCTCGCCAGAAAGACAGAGAGAGAGAGAAAGCGAGAAATCACCCGCAAGGGGGGATGGCCAGGCCGCAATCCCTTCTCCTCCATTCTCTTCTTGGGATCCTGGGAACGCCACACACTCACCCAGTGTGAGTTTAAGCCACAGGGTCCAGGACTCAAACCGTGGTCAACTACATGGGAGTCCAGAGATATAGCCATTATGCCAACTGCTTGTCCCCAGCCCACCACAGTTCTAATCCCAGCCTTGACAGCTTGTAAAGCATGCTAGATAATTGTGCGTGCATGCCCAAAGTCCAGATGGGATAAAGAAATGCAAGAAAACAGGACTACAGAACTGTCATGCCCCACTGGGGGTGCTTTCTCCTTGGTGAGCATGATGCCTTGACATTACAAAATAAAAATCATCAGTGTGTTGTTACGTTTACTCTGGAGAGGAAGCAAGGGATTTATAGCTAAAAGAACATGAATTTTGGAACTGGGTTTAAATATACAAAATGTCCTGTCTTTGGGATCTGCAAGTTCAAAGTCATCATAGTTCCTGGGACTATAGGCCTTATGGAGCTACAAGGTGTCTCCGTTTTCACTTATAAGTTGGCTTCAGTCCATTTTTAGCTCCTGAATAGTTCTGAACTAGAATTGCCCTCTGGACCTCTAAGGTATTACTGAGAACCGCCCAATTCTAACATACCTACTGCATCCCAAACAAACAAAGAACCCAAACAACGACCCTGAGAGGTTCAATGGGTTGCTTAAGGCCACAAGGCTAGTGAGTGATAGAATCCAGTCTCTTGACCCTCTCCTGGGCCTTTTCCACTTCATTGTGTAGCTTTTCTAAGTTGGAGTGGATGTCTGAGAGTTTGAAGGTAGCCTAAAGCCAGACTTAGGCTTCGCAGTTGCCAGATCTTTGTGTAACCCAGGCACTCCACTGGAATGAGGGACCAAGAAGTCTAGAACCTGGAAAAGAAGCTCTAAAACCGTTGCTAAAATGCATCTATTATGAACAATTTTTAGAAAAGTAAGTAAAAATGCATTGAGAGGATGTAAATACCAAAGACAAGCTTAGAGAACTCAAAGGCAGGACCAAGGGAGAAATAAGAACTATACCCCAAAGATTGTAGAGAATAGATACCCAAAACCTGCTCTGAACATATTAAGAACAGTGTATTCCAATTTAAGCAAATTAAATGTAAAAGAGATTAAAGATACTCATCAAAATGAATGCTAATAAGCTTTCATCGAGTTTGGTATAAAATTCAATTTAACATCTATTCAGTTAATAAACATTGTGATTTCCAAGAAGCATCACAGCTTGGTGTTCTGTAATGGAGCACAGCTATATTTTTCTAGGAGATAACTCAATAATAGTGAGACCTAGCTTTGCGCAGTGGCAGTATCGTAGCCAATGAGGTCTATCCCAGGCGCGATTATTGCTAATTGAAATAATAGTGAGACCACAGTTAACTGCTGTAGATGGGCAATGTATAAAGTTGCAAGTAAATTCATGGTATAGCAGCCGTTCATCGGTGGTAACAGTCATAGCAAAACAGATTGAAAGGGACAAAACACACTAATTCATCTCAATGAAACCAAAGCAATGGTGATTCACTGCTACAGTCACTCTATTAATAGAAGTAACTACCAGGAACCAGCAGATGGCATAATGGTTATGTCACTGGACTCCCACACAGTTGACCATGGTTCGAGTCCTGGACCCTGTGGCTTAAAACCCACACCAGGCATGTGTGCATGCATGCCCAAAATCCCATGAAGAGACTAATGGAGAAGAAATTGCAACATGGCCATCCCCCTGAGGGGTGATTTCTGTCTGTTTCTCTGGCGAGTAAATGCATCCCATAGCAAAAATCTTTCTTAAAAAAAAATAAAAATAAAAATAAAAAAGAACTACCTTTTAATATTTTATATCAAGGTAAATGATGTGTAATTATTATAATAGAAAGAAATATTCCTCCCTGCATTTCACCATGTAAAAGAACTGTAAAGATGAAGAAATAAAATGAACAGTTAAGACAACTGATATTGGGCAGGCAGGTGCAGTGGTGGTTAAGGGTGCTGGACTCCACATGGCTGACCACAGTTTGGGTCCCAGACCAGGCAGCTTGGTTTCTCACTTGCCCTCTCTCTCTCTGTCCCTCTCTGGCCAAATTAAATAAATAAATAAAGTTAAATAAAATAATTCTTTAAAAAAACTGATATTGGGACCAGCAGTTAGCATAATGGCTACATCACTGGACTCCCTTGTAGCTGACTGTGGTTTGGACTCAGTGGGTTAAACTCACGCCAGGCCTATGTGTCTGCGTGCCCAAGATCCCGAGAGGAGAATGGAGGAGAAGGGATTGTGGTGTGGCCATCCCTTCTGGGGGGTGGTTTCTCTTTCCATTTCTCTGTTTTTCTCTGTCTTTCTGGTGAGCACACGTGCCCTATAGCAAAAAACTGTCAAAAAAACCCCAAAAAACTGATTTTGGGGTTGGCAGGTGGTGTGGTGGTGTGGTGTGCTGGACTTCCACATGGCCGACTGTGGTTTGCATCCTGGACCTGGTGGTTTGCTTTCTCACTTTCTCTCTCTCTCTCTGTCCCTCTCTGGTCAAATTAAAATAAATAAATAATGCTAAATAAAATAATTATTTTAAAAAACTGATATTTTACTATCAAAAATCTAAAAATCAAAAAAAGGATAGGCTTTGTTTCTTCTAGAAACTAGCATAACAAATGACAATGAAATTTATGTTTAATCCATGCCCTAGTTTGAAGGGAAAGTATATGTATATATATATACATATCTCTTCTCGGGATTTTGGGCACTCACGCACACACACCCGGCGTGAGTTTTAAGCCACCAGGTCCGGGACATGAACCGCGGTCAATTACATGGGAGTTCAGCGACATAGCCACTACGCTAACTGCTGGTCCAGGTATATTTATTTTTTATAACCAGAAGTTTAGTTTATAGTAATTCTCTTTTTAATCGTTACTGAATACTTATGGGAGGGAGGGTATGGGGACAGGAACATGTTTTGGGCAGAGGGAGTGGAATATGTGTGGGCCAACCATGGGAGAAGAAATATCAGCCACACAACTCCCTGTTTTCAACATTTAGATTTTCTTTATGTGTTTAATTTCATATACACCATTTATTTTGCCCTATTTTCTCTGATGCATAGAAATGGTAGGAATTCATAGCATGACAAAGCTACTATGCAGGCTGATACTTATCACTAATATGTTATAATAGTACCCTCCCTGGGCTAACCCAAGAAAGAAAGAAAAAAAGGCAGTTATCCACCTAATTTGACCATAACTGTTCAGTTTGGGCTCAATAATTTCTTTTTCCTTATTCATGATAGAACACATGCACACACAGTGACTCCATCTGTAATATGGAAAGACCTCCCTTATAATAAATACCCTTTAGAAAAATTAAGGACAAGACCCCTTGATACCATTCATCAAAAATGAGAGAAGGGGGAGAGAGATGAGCACTCTCTACAGGGTCTGGGCACACCACAACCTCCTTCCTCCAGTCTTCCAGCCATCAGATCTTGAGCACTCACACACATGCCTAATGTGTTTCAAGCTGACTGGGCCAGGGATTTGAAGGGACTTGTCAGACAAGATCCAGCTTCTCAGCCAACACATTACTGCTGTGCCTTGGAGCAAGCTGGCCGCAACAAATGTTATTAACATATTCACTGTACTAGACCTTGCCTTAGATGCTAGGAAATCCAAAGACTTGACTACCACCTGCAAAATTAATCAGCCAGAAGGGAAGAAAAACCATAACATGGATAATTTCACGCAAAGCAGTAGAGGCAAAGGCAGAGGTGTGCACAGACTAATAAAAGGATGCAAAGGAAAGGGCATCCATCCAACCTGGGGAAACAATACAACAAGTGATTGTTTGCTGAGACTTGAACTAGTGGGAATTAAACAAACATAGAAAGAGGTTCTCAGGGTGCTTAGAAAACCACATGAATAGATTTCAACTTCAAAACTAATAGTCTGGTATGGCCAGAAAGTAAAGAATGCACATAGTTGAAATAGGGGCAAGGGGGCAGAAAGAGTGCAGTAGTAGACAGAATAATGAGGTAACAAGGATCATGGAAGATTCATCTTCTAGGAGGAGGCAGGACAGCTTAGGAGTAAGTTGGAAAGCAGCTTGATTTGGATTCTAGTATTTGTTCTGCTATTTACTAACTACAAACATGAGTTACTTACCTTCTTTGATCAGTGACTTCATCTGTAATATGGAAAGACCTACCTTATAGTACCCTTTAGAAAAGTTAAGGACAAGACCCCTTGATACCATTCATCAAAAATGAGAACAAATGGAATCGGTAAGATGATGTGCCACTGCTATTGGAGGTCACTTCCTACCTATGGGAAATACTTTGGCAGAGGAATGAGAAAGTCAAAGCAAAGATATAATGGCTCGCTTTGCAAAAAGTGAGGCAGAAAGACCAGTCAAACTATTATAATAATTAGAATAGGAAATAATGGAAGTTTTATCTGGCATTTCACCATCAGGGATGGTGAAGGGAAGATCCAAAAATGATTTAGGAAGAAAATTTGACAAGTCTCTCAGTGATCAACTGGAGAGAAAAAGTGGCTCCTAGTCTTCAAACCTGTACATCCAACCAATGGAAAAAATTAAGAAAACAAGGTGAATATAAGATGTTTATGAGAAATCTGAGTATTGGGTTGTCGGAAAAGTCTTGACACATTTCTGCATAGAAAAACATAGAAAAAAATGTATCTTGACATTTCTGACAACTCAATAGATCTGTCTACCAGAGAAGTGAACATAAAAACTTGCAGTTCAGAGCTGGAGATCATTTCTTTGGGTTAAAAGTCATCACTCCATGCTATATAATCCAGAATAGTTTATAATGATTTTTTTCTCCTAAATCTGAAACAGATGTTAAAAAAAAATCCACCTTTTAAAATGAAAGGTATTACATAAAACTATATCCAAATCAGTAAGTAAAAGGATGACACAGCTTTAAGAGACCATAATATGCTAGGTGCACTTGCCATATATGTCTGTTGTATCCATTTAGTAAAATCAAAGTCCACTGTTAATTAGACAAGTTTGTTTTTCTTATAGGGAAGTCCTTTTAGTAAATGTAGATAAGATTAAAAATTATAAACTAAAAAAAAAAAAAACTGGCAGAAATAAATCTGATTCAATTGGCAATTTTGTTTCATATTTTAATTCTCAGAAAAACCTCCCAATCTTAATCATGAAGCTTCTCTTTTAACATTTGGCCAAGTGGGTACTAAAAAAAAGGCCAGTCATTAAAAAAAAGGTTGTGAAACCAATATGTTGAAGTGAAAATGAATTGGCATATGCTCATCAACAAGATCCAGTGCTCAGATTTTAAGCAAAGTTACTTACTTGGCTGATTTGATAAAACTGTCACAGAAACAATAACATGTCTCAATAATTATATAAGAAAAATGGATTTAAAAAAAAAAAGCTGACAATAACTCTTAAATTCCAACAAACACAACCTGAGCAACTCTTTCAAATAGTAGTGGCCTCATTTTTAATTTTTCTTCTCTTTCTTCTAGTTCTCGCCGGTATTCTCTTATCCTTTCCTTTTCACTCTTTCTAAAATTAAATAGAAGGAATGTAATTTTAAAAGGTCATCTAAGAAATAAGAATTTCCATAATGTAATATTTAGCTCAGATGATAAATCAGAAATTATGAGCACAGTTTACAGTTTACCATAGTACCTTTTCCTGACTCGTCAATTCCCATGGAATACACGCTAAAAATCCTAGATTATGAGGCTGCACACACACTGGGAGTAATCTGTGTGCTTCAAGGGTTCTGAAATAGTCAAGGCATAAAAAGGGGCTTCCAACTGGCTTGAGGTGATGAATGAACACCTTCTTATCTCATAAGTATATAAAATCAAGAAAATTTGGCTCAAATGAGATATGTTGTCTTTACGGAATTCCCCCTGAAAACAAACCTTGCTCTTATTTTCCCCCCTAAATGAAACCTACAAAGGTCGGTAGCAAAGTTAATTAAGTCAGAGCAGCTCAAGGGAGAAATGGGGGAGTATGGAAGTATAACATACAGAAGAACAGGATCCAAAGCACATAAATTCATTTTAAGTATATTTAACCCTTTGGACAAGATCCCATAATGAATTTAAATTATGCTATTTTCTCTATGTAAGATATATTAACATTGCCAAGATAACAAGACTTCATGGATTAGAGAAAACAATTGCACTTTAAGATGATAATTATGCTTAATTATACACAAGCTGGTGGTATTAAAAAGCTACTCTATTTCCTAACAGTGAATAGTATATTTCTAAAAATACTTTTGTTCAAGTTCATCAAATTAAGCTCTCTCTATCAATGGATTAATTATATTATAAATTAATATTCATTGTAATTAAAAGCATATAGTGATTATAAATCAGGCTAAAAATTAATAAATCATAATACTTACCCAGCTTTAGGGGAGATATTTTCCTATTTAAACATGAACATTTCTGTGTACAACATCTAGAATACTGGTTTTCAAGTTTTCTGCTGTAGAATAGTAATGTTCTGTGAAGGGCTCTAGGGGTTCTAAAAATTTTTTTATGTTGAAAGTGCAACAAAATGCAATATGTACTACAAAACATTAACACACAGGTGTTAATTAACATAACATCACATAATTGATGTTAATTAACCTCAGTGTGTTAATTTGCGCTATCGAATTTCATACAAACCTTTGAACAAAGTTCTCTGATATATTTGTTTATTAAAAAATATTTTGAGATATAGCAAGCTGTTTAAAACCAGCTTTATTGGTACAAATTAAGATTTTTCTCAATATTGTACTGTGTAATCAAAAGTAATATAAAGAAAAAGATCAGATGCTGATAAAAGATTATAGCTATTAACCATGGCCATAGTAGAAATTGTTTCCTTCATCAACATAGCTTTGTGATTCTCACCATGAAGGAGAATATACTGGGTTGTTGGGGAAGTCATGATGTGTTTCTCTTTGCATAGAAAAATACATCATGACTTCCCCCACAACCTAGTGCACGTTGGTTTTCACCATGAGGTGAGTATGTATGTGTGTTGAATATAAGTAACTGATAGTCATTTGAATCCATAAATAGCAATACCATTCTAATCTGTTCATATGTTGGTATCCACTGAATTTTTAATAAAAAGAAAGTCTGAAAACCAATGATCTGGAGGTTCAGGATCTTTTCATGATACCTGAGATATTTTACTCTGGACTTAGACATCTGAGCTAAACTTTGATGTGAGTCATAAGCCTTAGCCCGGGTTGTCAGGAGTTTCTGCAATTCTTTTGTTCTTTGCTTCTGTTTAGTAAGGATCCGATTTCTTTCTTCTTCCAACATTTTCTTTTCCTCAAGTGATCTCCTGAGGGCAACAAACTAAGGCTTAATTCACTTTAAGCCAATGAGAATGTTCAGCAAAGACTTAAGAGGGGATAATTCAAAGGTTGAAAAAAAGGGGCAACCTTTGGAAAAGGATTTGACTTGTAAATTGGGAAATCCAAACTGACTATAACCTTTTCTATCTCCAATTATTCACACAAGGTAAAATACATTTACTTATGGGAAGAACATCCTCTGGAAAAATATTCTATGTTATATAGTAAAAATATCTTACAGATGCAATAATGATTCTTAATATTTTCAAATTTACCAATATAAAATAAACGGAGTTACTTACACTAGCTATGCTACAACTACAAGTCAGTCAGTACTATGTCCTAGTTACTTACCTTATGGCTTGTTCTCGTCCTCTGGAAGATACTGTGGGCACAGGAAGGTTGGAGCTACAAGGCATGGGCTTTGCACTTGCACACTTTACTGGTGATTTACTATGCCTTGGAGACAAAAAAGGCCAACGTGTTTCTTTTAAATTATTTTCATCTGCTTTAATGTCTGCCAAAATTTTCTCTCTTTTAGTAGATGCACGTGAAGATTCATGAAGATTAAATGGTTTACAGACTGTCAAGAGTTTTGGACATGTGTGTTCTGAGAGGTGTTTCTGGTATCTCTCAGGAAGGTCTTTACAATCAGGAGTTTGGCACCTAACCTTGTGTTTACACTTCATCTTTTCAGCCTGTTCAGAGTACTTGGGATTCCTGAAACACCTGAAAGCTGGCCTATGAGATAGAGGGGAGGAATTCTGTGAACGCTCTTGGGCTTTCAGTTGTGTCCTAATGTTTCTATAGAGCTCTTCCTCTTTTAACTTGTCACTGATAGTTGAACTATAAGTAGATCGAGGTATAGGTCTGGCTTTAAATCGATTTGTTTTCTTTTTAGACTTCAAAAAGTCTCTCAGCTGCTTTTCCTGGGCTGCCCGCTTCTGTTCCTCCCTTGCAATAAATTTAAATGGCTTTTGTAAGGCCAAAAGAGCTTGTTTGTTTTTCTCCTTCATATTCTTCCTCCGTTCTTCATTTTGCTTGACCATGTCATGATAAAGAGGGAGTAAGACACATTCAGGGACTGGATTAGCTCGGAATTTCTTCTTACACTCTAAATCATCTTCTTCTTTTCTCTGCAGTTTCTCTATCATTTCAATATCTGATTTAGATTTCATGGTCTCTTATCTTTTCTTCTGTTCTCTAATCATCATTTGAAAAGGTTTAGGTATTGTAATTGTTGGCACCCATTCTTTTGGTTTCTTCTTTGGTTTTTCAACTGCTCGGAAGACAGTATTGTCACACTGAATATAATCTTCCACACAAAAGTTTGTCCACATGTTGTTAATCAGCTCCTTAGCATAGGTCATAATTCTGTTTTTTCTGGGACACCCATTTTCTAAGTTGGGCAATTCTTCTTCTGAAGAGGAAAACTGGCCTAAGTCAGGCTCCGAAAATGATATTAAGGAGACAGGATGAGAGTTCTTTTCTGATACAGATCTAAATGAGAATAATTAGGTTATACTTTCAACTGTATGTGACCAAATAAAAAATTAAAATAGAGTTATATATTTTCTTTTTCTTTTGTTTAAAGAATTGTTTTATTCAATTTCATTCATTATCATCAATATTTTCAAAATTTGAACAGAGAGAGAAACAGAGAAAGTGAGAAAGTAAGTTGCCAGGTCCAGGACTTGAACTGTGGTCAGCCATGTGGGAGGGCCTTAACCACCATTCCACCTGCTGGTCCCAAGTTCTATATTTTTTAAGATCAGGATATCATTGGTGAGAAGGGAGGAGCTAGAGACGGGCAGCAGGTGGCATGGGGTGTAAGGTGGCTGAATCCCACGTGACCAACTACATGTTTAAATCCCAGACCCTATAACTTGAAAAATCACACCAAGCACGTGTGTGTCTGCGCTCAAAATCCCAAGAGGAGAATAGAGAAGGGATTGCGGCATGGCCATCAGGGGTAATTTCTTACTGTCTCTCTGGCAAGTGCATGTGTCCTATA